TGTATGGGTATATAAGCTTGTAAATGGCTCATGTAGATTATTATTTCTAATATGTAGATGTAACAATGCAATGTAGCATTAAAGTAAATTTCTCTCTAACATCTACCATTACATCTCACAACATCAAGTAAAAACAACATATAAGTATGCATACACTTCTCTTAGGCATTTCATCAAACAACTTGCATGCACCCACTATTTCTACATAAGCTACTTTTCTACCTCTTTCTCAAACTACCAATTTGGAGCAAACTTCTCCAAAATCAACAACAAAACCTGGCCAAACATTACACTTCATAATACTACTCAAATCCATACCCAATTCAACCAATCTCCACCAATCACCACAAAGGCAAACTCTACATGTTCATGGTTGAATTTACACTTATCACTAAGCTTCAATCTCATGAAAATGTCTCAAAAGCATAAGCACATAGTTACACATCCAAATGTCTACAAACTTGCTCAAATCAAGCTTAGGGTTGGATTTACTTACTTTGAAAGTGGACAACTCAACCCTTTGATCTTCCTTTAGCACAATAATCTACCTCTTACACCTTAACAACAACAAGAAGAAGTTTCAACACTTTAACTAGCATTAAAAATTTAAATCTTGGTGTAAGAGACTTACCTTGGGGCTTAAAAGTGGAGATCCACCCAATTTAGACCAAGATCTATAAAATTCCTTGAAATTGGATTGAAGGAATTTGAGAGAAATATTTAGAGCGTGGCGTGAGGGTTGAAGAGAAAAATTGGTAGGGTTTCTTCATTGAACTCTTAATATTAATGAAATATAAGTGTAGTTTCCCATTTTACCCTTACACTTCTATGGAAATTCCATCTATGTCCCCCGAGCAATTACCATAATGCCCTCACATCTAAGCATTCTCCATAAACTTTTATGACTTTTCACTCCTCACATGCCTAACTAATTCTGGGTGGAAAGACCATTTTGCCCTTGAGCAAGTTTGTCCCCAAAATTCATCAAACAAAATTTTGCCTCCTTCACCCCGGCGAAGACATTTCTTCGCCGCGGCTAAAAATTACCGAAGGACGTCGCTGTGGCTACAAACTTCCTTTGCCCTGGTGAAGTCTGTAACTCTTTCCTTACTACATTTTCATGCATTTCAACTTGACAAAAGGCATAATAACTAAAGAACATAAGGAAGAAAGTCACATACCTCTGTGTGGGTGTTACAAATGAGCTGGAAGAGATCCAAGCAAAGCACTGTAGCGGACTCTACAATGGAGGCTGAGTATATTGCATGGGTTCGAGCCATGGGGGAAGGCAAAAGAAATCCCTTAAGGGGGTGGAGATATTCCTAGTGAGTCACGCTAGGGTGAGCCTAGAGTGGGCCTGGGGTGAGCCCAGGTGTACCAGCCATGCCCACGGTGGAGATTGGGTCGTGACATGGACACCATAGTTTTCAATTGTTTTTACAGAACTTGGGTGATGAAAAAGCTGAGGACCGGGTGTGCACACTGTGAATGGAACTTCAACTTCACTGATTAATCAGGGAATTATCTCGCACCTTTTTCTATTTTGTTTTCTATTCCTAATTTATGCATAATGTGACATTGGGGACAATGTCATCTTTAGTTTGGGGGTAGGAAAAATTGGAAAAAAATTTTATTTTTGTTTCAGTTACGTTTGTGTTTTTGTTATGGTTGCCATTGATGAATTGCATAAGACCATGATGAGACTAGGATTGTGGGATTTTGTTGTTGAAAAATGTTAAGCATTGCTTCAAGTTTATGTTTATTGACTGAATTTTGATTGAGGTTTGTTGAGTGGTTCAACCACCATTTTCATTTATTTCGGCATGCTTAATTCATTTTATGCGGTTAGGAAAAGTTTGATAATGTTGGTGGACTCTAGAACCTAGTAGAGAAGTAATTGAGGCAAAATCTTAGGAATAGACATTGTTGAGGAAATGATTTAGGCATTTCTCGGAACGTTTAAGCCTTTCTAGCCAACCCATGAGTGAATTTGTCCCTAGTCACCTACTTGAGCCTTATGAGATTATCATTGTTAGTGTATATTAGTGTATGCCCTAGAAACATTCGTGTTGTCGGTTTCAGAGCATTTTGTCTTGTATATATATATATCATAAATAATAGAAGAAAGAGTTCTTCAATTCATATATGTAAATTGCTTCCTTTATTCAGTCATGCATTTAAAATAAAGTATGTATATGAATTGTCCAGATGATTCATTTAATAGGTAAATGAATTATCGAAAAGGGTTCCCTGCGGAAGCAATATAAATTTGGGCAACTATATTGTACAGTAGGCATACCGGATGCTTCCGAAAGATATCATGAGTTGATATAAGTACGGATGACGATGATAGTCATGTCACTAGGGCATTGGTATGGATTAACGGTTGGTGAACTGTTTTTCGAACGTGACCGAATAACGACAAATCACTTGGAAAAGCATGTAGTCAATGATTTATCGTTTGGTTATATCAGTGCACGATGTAGTCCTTTGACCTGAGACATTGTAGTCGGATCCGATATGGATGCGTATGGTTCATACGGTGTATAAGTACGAGACTAATCATGTTTCGTACAATAAAGCCTATTTGGTCATGCGTTGTTCATATGCGGAAACGAACGATGGTCAAGAGGGGATCCATTGACTCGGAAATATAGGATCGGGAGTACCGCTGACTCCATCCGGATTCGAGTTCCTAGACGAACATCGATAAATGTCGGAAAACTGAATCTCTGGCCAGAGTCTATTATTAGTCATACAAAAGTAAGTTTGTGATGACAAGTTCCGGACATATTGATCGACAATTCGGTAGAAGATCGAGTTTAGGATTTTGACGTTCCATGAATCCATACTCGATTAGGATATCTCAATGGAGGGACTTTACCTGCATGGTACGTATGATCTGAAATGGGTTCGATGAAGTATTTCTTCATCGTGGTTTAGGGACTATGGCACATTGCTAGATGTTTACCATAGTCGTTGGGCCTCCGGACAGGTTTCCGGATTCATCCAGAACCGGCTCACGGCTAATCCACGGTGGACCTACATGGTCACACCAATAGCCTTGGGAAGTTAGAGAATGATGAGAGAGAGAAATGATTATCCGAAGAGGGCTAGCACCTTCCGAGGGTAATAACGGGATTTCTATAGTAATAGTTACATAGAAAATAATTTGTGACATTTTAAGGGTTAAAATGGTCAAGCAATAATTAATTATATTTAATTATTATATCTTAAAGTGTTAAGATTAATGAGATGAACAAAAATAACCTTTTAATAGTTAAAGGGTAAAAAGGGGTAAATTTTGGGTTGTTAATGTAAACTAGTTTAGTTTACATGGGCCCTTGAATAATATTGATTATTCAAAGGGTAGCATATTAAATTCGTGGGGTCCCTTTATAAAATAAGATTTTATTGGGCTTGGAAGTGAAAAATAAATAATTACAAAATTGCCCAAGTATATATAAATGCAAAAGGTTGCATTTTTGTTCATAACACACATTGTTCACTCAAAGCAAAACCAAAACTCTCTCTAAAAGCCACGACCACTCTCTAAACCTCTCAAGGTGGTGTTAAAGTGTGGAGGTCTCATTACTTTGAGGCTGATCTTCATCAATCCAAAGCAAAGGAGTAGGTATAATCTCTTTTCCAAGCTTTGTTTGAAAACCGGTTTTTTGAATCCAATATTTTTTATGCTTTCTTCTCCATTTCCACCACTCTTCATGCATGCATGTTGTTCTTTCAATCATTGTGTTTTATTTTCTTACAAACTGAAAATTTCCCAATCCAACTACCCTGAACACATAATCGGACCCTTAGGTGAATTTTGGGCCTAATGCAAACACAAAGAAAGTGAAGAGTTGTGCGAATCACTAAAAGAATAGTTTGGGGGTTGTGAGAAGGGCGATAAGAATAAGAGAGGTAATTAACCTCAATTCAGTTTATGATTATTATTTTCAAAAATAAATAAATAAATTTCTTTAGTTCAATTCAAAATAAAAAAATAAGAGAAATGCATAAGCTTGAGGGTTGTAAAATGGTTAACACTTTGATTGGTGGTTGAGAAAGAAAGTGGAGATTGATATGATTTGTAGTGTGTGCATGACGAAAACCGAGTTCTCTTACTTTGTTTGTCCTATCCTTTTTCCTGAAACCCACTACCCGAGCCTAACGTTACAAGCTTTTAAAGACCTGTTGATTCTTAGCAATGTCTAGTCTATATTAGTGGAGAGTAGTTCGATATGTAGGCTTATGGAGTTTGCCACATTCGATAAACTTTTCATGTAACGCCCCACTTGAGGTACGTAGCTAACGTTTCTTCTTTTGCTCTTATTTGAGTTGGTTTATTAGTATTATTGTTTGGTTGACCTTTGTTTGAGTGGTGTGTTGAATACTTGCCTTGAAATTGGTTGAAATAAAAGAAGTTCAGTGTTCCATGCTTCGCCGGAGCGAAGAAGAATCTTCGCCGCGGCGAAGAGGTGTTGAAGCCATGGGAAGTTGCTGGATTCGCCGCGGCGACAGAAGCTTCCTCGCCGCGGCGACGTGCCAACCAAAATGTTTGTTAAGTTTTAGATATTTTCTTCCCTAAGGGAAATTTGACCATTCTACCCCTAATTAACAGGAAAAGTGGGGAGTAAAATGTAAGAAATTTTCATGGAGAATATGTTGTTATCGGGGTGTGTTTGTAATGAATTGAAGGATATAGATGGAATTCCCAAGGAAGAGTAAGGGCAAAATGGGAATGCTTGTGTATAAATTTCGTTAATAAATTTGATAAACAAAGGAAAGTATAGTACAAGATTGACTAACTAAACTTTCAGATAAAAATACAGCAAAGCACAAGTACTAAGTGAAGCACAGAACTTCCTGTGTTCCCTTGTTAGACAGGAAAAGGTTATTTTTTCCTTCATTATATGATAAAAGGATCATCAGTGGTGCCTTTTATTTTTTATTTATTTTTATTTTTTTAACATTCTATGACATTTGCAGGAACAAAAATAATGTAAAATGAATAAATTAGACTGTTGAACACACAGTAAACAAAACAGAGCACTCACCTTTCAAGTGCACCAAACATGCATCTGTTATGTCATTGAATCCCAAGTTTAATACTTTCAAACTCCCAAGCCCTGCAGAAAATAAGGATTTGATTAGGTCAAGGTTAAATTCAAAGTTCTGACAAAAAACAACCAAAACATCTCATCATCTTAGCTAATTTGCAGTAAATCTCATGATGCCAAGAGGTGCAATTAATTGAAGACGACTTACTGGAAAATTTCTCACATCCATCATCAGACAGATGACATCTATTAAGATTCAAATACAGCAGGTCCCCAAGAGCTGCATAGATACAGGAAAAGAGAATATTTAGGCTAAATCCACACTTAATCAAGCTATTGAGTATATGCAACTTTAAGCAGCTCATTCTAAACTTTTACTAAATAGTTAACTTAGATCACATGTCAAGTCAAGGGATTATTTCTCCAATATACATTCCCTTGACTTGCAACATATCGGATATCTAAGTTTTCTAAATAGATAAATGAGTTGTTAATTGCAAGCTGGCAAACCATTCAAAAAGAAATTAGAAGATCAGTAGAAAATGGAAACACCAAGAGGCTTCAACCTGAAAGAGAGTCTAAGCATGCAGCCGTCACTGGGCAGCCTTCCAAATTCAATAGAGAAAGCTTTTGCAGACCTGAAACACAACAACGATCTCCAGTGTCAACAAAAAGAAGTTTGAATTACCAAGTCAAACAAGACTAGTAAAAAATTCTAGAAAAAATGGGTAATTATTAAAAACCTATGGAAGAATTACTCATCAGGAAGTAGGGACATATGGTTGAAACACATACAAGAAAAAATGTAACGTTAAAATGACACTCAGATATCATGGATGGCGTATGAAATTCACAAATATAGTTATAATTGTAGTAGTTTGAGATATCAGCATAGGCTCCAATTTTTATTTTTTATTTTTCTCTGTCTATTTTTTATTAATTAAAATTATTTCATTAACCTTAGGTAATTTTAAAACTCGTACATGGCCATCATCAGTCTTTAGTTACGTCTATTGGTCACAGCATACTGATTGTCACTTCCTAAATTGTGAGCAAATCCCAATTGATCCTACCTTAAAATCATGAGAAAAAGAGAGTTAGTTTTAATGAAAACTAAGTTTTGTCTGTTAAGTTCTCTCATGAGTACTAGTCACAGCATCAAAAACTTGGTCTTTCTATCTTTTTCTACCCCAGAAGTTACTGTTCACAAATCAAATTCTCAGAATATCTTCCTAACACATGTTGTCCTAGTGTATTCTATTCCAGCTTTGAATTGATTTTCATAATCAGTTCTGTTATATCCATTAGCTGCTATCCTAAGATTGTGTGCCATAATTTAACAATTTACAAATAACGTCCATCATGATTTAACCATTCAAGCTACTGGAAACAGTTATAGACCTAAAAATTTTCTTGATCCAATGTTTAACAAGTTGTAAGCAACTTTACACAAGTTACAAATATTGTCATACATCACAGCTTCTTCCCAATTTCTATGCTATCTATGTAGATGGGTTCTGGGAATCTTATTAATGCTGTCCCCAAGAAAGGTTAATCATTAAATCCTTCTAAAACAATTCCATTCATGAGTTAATATAGTGTTATACATTTTCTAAAAAATAAATTACTAGCATAACCTTAAAGACCCAATCAAAGCAGTTTTCTGATTTGTTTTGGTCCATTCCGTAATGTAGCCCAATTATGATTAACATTCCAAAATCATATGAGAAACATGAACAAAACCTCCCCCATGCACCATGGCAAAGTGGAATTGTGGTCCATGTGGCTAAGATATTATTCAACATGTAAAATTGTAAGACATGACAACATGATATAGATAAAAAAAACAGTACCTTTCAAGTAAGTAATGCCGACATCAGTAACCTTGCTGCAGGAAATTTGTAGACTTTTCAAGTTTCTAAGCCCTGAAAAGAAATGGCACAAAAGTTACCCTACATCTTTACAACATTCAAACTCATACCAAATCTCGATAAAACTGATCCAATGCACATCCTTCAACACCTCTTAACTAAACTTCTAAACAGACATGAAGAACTATATAAAAAATGAAATCCATGGTTAGAGTGAGAAAATATAAGAGAATCGTGTGAAAAGGTAAATAATAAAACCATCCCAGAAGGAGAAGGATGGGTAAGAGTCACCTGAGAGAGGCTTCATATCAGAATCCGTGATGCAATTACACCATTTAATATTAAGAGACTCCAGCTTTGTCAGACCTGCAAAACGATAAATATGGTACACATTAGCCAGTTTATGCCTTCATGAAAAGTGAGCAACTCTTTGATAACTCCATCAATGTTTGTTGCTATGTGTTTAAACTTAAGAGGCTTTTTGTTTTTCGCTATGGTGGATATTGAAACCCACTTTTATCTCTTCCTCTGCAGTAACACAAATCTTTTGTTTCCAAAAAATATATTTATAGAGAAAGGCTAAGCTTACCGCTTATCATTTTTCTTTTCCAATTATATTTCTTGCTTCAAACATATGCACTACTTCTATTAATGAAAAAAGAAATTTCAAACAATTTACCCTCCCACAGAAAACCAAATCAATACCTCTGCCTTGGACAAGAGAGAGGGTTGGAAGGTTTAGAGGTAAACATACCTTTAAGATGACCAAGACCGCCATGAATTCCAATACATCTTTCCAGATCCAACTTCGATAAGTTAATCAACCCAGCAAAGGCACTCATCCCTTGAGCAGTAATTGCATTGTTTCTTCTAAAACTCAAACTTGTAAGGTTTGAGAGATCTGAAAGATTTTCACATGGTAAAACAACCTGTGAAAAAGGTGCTCAAGTATAAAGTGAGCAGAGCTAAATCTCTTGAATGAAGGAAGATGATGGAACAGAATGGTAAGAAAGGAAAGGCACACAAATGATATTCCAAAATAGAGATTGTCATTCTTTTAGTGGGAAACTAAAGAAACTGTATTAATAATAATTCAAAGAAGGTAGAACTAAGAACCAGCAGACCACATTGAAGACAACATCCTAAGGAGCATCAACCTTATACAAAGACAGCCTAAAAATACCTGTCTATAACCCACAGTTCATACAAACCCCTCCCCAGTGAAAAAGAGAACTATCTATATAAAAATTACCCAATCCCCTTCCCAGTTTAGATTGATAAAATAGTTTATACCAGTGTAACACATGCAAAGGGAGATCATAACTCATTTCTACCACAATCTTTTGAAATTCAGAGTATTCACCCTTATCAACACAGTAACTGAAAATATGTAGAAAAGGTACCAGAGATGTGCCCAAGCCCACAATCTGAAATCTGGTTACAGTCATTAAAATTTAAGGATTGCAGGTTTGTGCAATCTTTGAGATTAATCAACCCAGAATTAGAGACATCAGAACCAGAAAGATCCACACAAAGTAAAGATGAGCCCTGAGAAGCAATGACATCCATCCACTTGTCATTTACACCAGGGTACTCTCCCAGGTAAAGGTCCTGTCACGAAAACTTTGCAGATCAGCATGCCCATTAGGGGCAATGGCACAACCATCACAATAATTTTAACACCACAAGTAAAAGTATCATGCTAGGAATTACCTGGAGAGCACAGTCTCGAAAAGCTTCTAGAGAAATATCAGTTAGACGTTGGGAATTTACCAGTTCATTGAAGATTTGCTGACTGATATCCCTTGGGAGCATTGAAAAGGTATTATATCTATCTATGTCCTGTTAGGTAAGCAGATCAAAGATCAGTCACCGAAAAAAACTGTTGAGGCCTTCTACCAGGCATGATATGAAAACAGAATACCTCACGAATTTTATGAGCACACAACTCCATAAGGGACGGGCATTTCCCTTGTCCTCGTTGGATTTCCAGCGGAGGCCTAAAAAATGAGGTCATCAACCACTTGGAACTTCCACTTTTATGATATCTTCCACAAACCCCTCTATTTAACCTATCTTCATGATCCAATTGGCCTCTCTTCCTAGAACAAGCTCCTCCCATTAAGGAAATATCTTGTGATCAATATATGTCATAAAAATTGCAGCAGAACACTACTTTAACCCATTCAATTACCAAAAAGTAACCATGCACTCTACTTCACCCTGTAAAACAAGAAAGAGTGATAGCAAAATAAGTATTCAGCCCACACAATCATTAAGAAAACACCTTTTCAATCGGCATCCAATTAGAATTGAGCTTGTGATCATCATGCTAGAACTATAAATTTAACAGACAGAATGTCAGTCAAAAAATCATGACGCAGATTTTCCCAGCCAAATTAAAATGGTGCTTATCATGTTTGTGATGATATGCTCTTCTAAAATTGTTTGTAATAATATGCTTTCTGTTAGAAAATATATCCATATGATACAACTGCTCGAATAATTTGTTTTATACACATATTTCACACAACTTAAGAAATGAGAGAAAACACCTTTTGTGCTTGATTATTTGTCGTGAGCTCGTTTTCTAGGCTTGTAGGCAAGGGGTTCAAACTTAGACATAGAGTTAATTCAATTTTCTCTTTCAGGATGGTGCGGTAATGATTGTCTGATATAGTCAAAACAGTGATGGTAATGACTGCAGTTGTGGTAATCTTGCTGAAGGTGCAAATAGATGTAAAGGTAGTTATGCAGTAAAAGTGGTCATCACGGTGGTGGTTGGGTTATAGTTATGTTGTAACTGTTGTGGAGGTGTGGTGCCACCAAGCTGTATATTGATATAAAAAGTTCCTCAATACAGCTAAATAAAAAATAAATATATAAAACACTAATACAATACTTAAAGCAATCAAAGTCCTAGCCATTAACTGATTTTTTTTTTTTTAATATCTAGAAATAAAATGGGTTACAATTCACAATTAAGATATATTTCAGGTATCTCAAGAAAGAAAATACGAAATTTACATTATTAGTCTCACGCGTACTATAAACAAAATCAACAATTTGAGCCCTAAAATACACGCATGACTTGACAAAAATTATCTGAGCTAAACCAAACCAATATGTCAGGTTCAAACTTGAAATTAGAAACACTGGATTTTGATAAGCCGAATATTATTGAACTTTGGTTGGTAAGAAACTTGCATTTCTTACCAACCAAACATGGCATACTTCAACTTCAGTTTCACGAATAGTTTTCAGTTCCGCTTACTCGCAAGTCGCAACACAAAATATAGCCAAACACAAATTTAGAAAATAAAACAGAGAATTCACCAAATAAAAATAATTAAAAACAGAGTAAAGCCACGATCGTCGAGTCAAAATACAGATTCCGAGAAAATAGTTTCACGAAAATTATTCTCTAAAACAACACATACGGAAGCATAAAGAAAAACAGAGAATCAAAATATATATACAGAAACGTAAAAATCATTCCTTTCCTCAGCTACAGAGATGGATATGAACTCGGCGATATTCACAAACGTATATTAACATACAATAGCAACCAAAAAATCATATAAATCAGAATTTTCTTTTCACCGGAAAAGTTTTCCAGCAATCATTTCATTTTCTTCCCCGGAAACAAACAGAATCAGATGAAAACACGAAAACGACTAAACAACAAAACAGAACAAAGTAAAGAATACCTCATCATCATGATTAATCTAGATTTTTGATCGAGAGAGATAAATATCAAAGGCTTAACAGTGACATAAGAGGGAGACAGATTGTTTGAGAGTGAAGCTTTGAGAAGGAGAGAATGTAAAAGAGTAACAAGAAGTGCAAAAGTGGCTGCGACCCGAACTAGAGTCCGGACCAACGGACGACTGCCACGTCTTCGTTTGAGTCAGCGAGGGAGGTTGGTTCGGAGTTCGGTATATTGTGTGGATAAATACATTTACACCCCTATTGATTGCCATATTAATTTGTCGTTTTATAATTTTGAAAACGCTCAAAATACCTTCTATTAATTGCAATTTTCAATTGAGGACAACTCTATTTGATAGATGCCGGCCGGTGCCCATCTAGGAGGGTGGAAATTAGTTGTTAAACTCAATTAACAAGTATTTGTTTTACCAAGAGAACTTCTTATGTATGATGTACATGGATATATATACAATCAATTAATCTAATGTAAAAAAGTTCATTTTTTTCTTTTGCGTGACATCCTATCATCACCACCCAAAACCACAATTAAACTAACAATATATATATATATATATATATATATATGGTCATTTTTTAGTCAAGACATTTTGATATAAATTTAGTCAAGAACATATATATTTATTGTTGAATTAATTACATTAGACTAAAATAATATTTTACAATCCAAATTAATGGTATGTATGTATGATACATACATAAATACATACCAGTAAAAGATTAATCCTATAGAACTATATTTTTTAGTCAAGACCATACATATTCATTGTTGAATTGATTACATTAGATTAAAATAATATTTTACAATCCAAATTAATAGTACCTATGTAGTCTTGATAAATTTATATAAGAACATCTTGATTAGAGAATTGATTACTTACACACAAACATAGCTATATACTTGACAAGGATAAAATTGATATCACGATAAAGTTTGGGGATTTAAGTGATATTTATCCTACAAATCAGATAAAGCCGAGGAGATATTAGTGGGTCCTACCTCTAGTTGATTACTGTGGTTCAAGCCAATGAAATTTTAGAAATTTTTTAATTTTTTTGGTTATCCGTTGAGGACTGTGGGCCGTCCGTGGGCCCAATGGGGGTTTGCTTTGGGGATTCTACACGCAACGTTTTCGTGTGGATTATGAATTGTCATAAAGTCATTTGTTTAATCAAATCATAATTAGAGTATTAAATTACGACATTATATTAATTATGACGAGGTTCGGTGAGTGTAGTACTGCTTTTTTTTATTTGGGGGGAAAGACATACACCTACCCGGAGATTGCTATAAAGTCAACTGGTATCCAAAAAGTTTTAAAATGACAAATGTCCACTTTCCATCCAAATCCGTTAGTAAATCTGCTAACTAAAATGGTATTATCGATATTCTATCATTTTTGTAGGCTTTTTATGTTTAGGGTTTGTGCATAAAAAAAAGTTAAAAAAAATTACATTAAAAAAATTCGTCCAAATCTCTTATCTTTCTTCTTCTTCTCCCCCTTCTCTTTCTCTTCTCTTTCTCTTACTCTCTCCCTTCTCTTTCTTTCCTTTCTTCTCCCTCTTTTTCCTCCGGTCACTAGGCAAGAACCCGGCATCAGAACATGGACTAGAAGCTGGCCAGATCGAAAGCGTCTCTTTTCTCTCTCTTCCCGTCTTCATCTTCTTCATCTCTGTCATAAAAGGGCAAAAAAGGGGGGTCTTTTGCAAAGATGTTGCACTTCCCCACCCATTTTCCAGAAGCCATGTCACCGAAAACCTTTCCTCTCCCCGCCAATCGTCTTTTCGGTGTGCCCTTTCCAAACCCCCATTTTTCCTATCGCCGTTTGCTCACATTTCATTGCCGATTGAATTCCTACGGTTTTTGTTGTTTGTTGAATTGGGATTGATTTGTGTTTTTCGAAGTATCCAATGGGAAATTGATGATTGTAGATTAATTGGTGAGTGTTTTTTTTTTTTTAATGTTTTTGTTTGATTTTTGGGGATTTCTGATCGGTTTTGGCATTGATGATTGATTTTCCAAGTTTTGGCACACCACTTGTTTGAGGTTTTGCCCCAACCCTTATATGCCTTGCATGTTTTGGTTCTTTTGAGTGTTTGAGAGTGGTTCTTTTGAGTGTTTGAGAGTGGTTCTTCGGGATTTTTTGCATTGAATCTTTTGGTGATTTGAGTGAGGTTTTTTTTTTTTGGGGGCTTTGGTAGTTTTTGCTGGTTGTTGTCCTGGTTCTGACGACTATGGTTCTGGTGAGAGATGAAGACGGAATTTTAATTAAAATTAATTATAAAAATAAAATAATTAAAATTGAGAAGGAAGATTTTTATAAAATTAATATTAAAGAGATAAAATGGAGACGTGACCAATGCATAATATTATATTTTTTTTGTTAGATATAAAATTACCATATTGTCCTTTTTTAAACGAGCTTTACTAACAGATTTGAACAGAAGGTATTAAACTGATATTTTCAAACTTTTTGGGTATTAAATTGTCTTTATAGCCAAACTATAGGTAGGTGTAAGTGGCCTTTTATTTATATATACAAATAAAGTTCTTTGAGTGAGCGGATTAGCCACGTTATCTTTCTTAATTAGTCCAAATTATCAGTTTTCTTTAAGACATTATGTTGGATGTTGACATAATTTTTATCCAAAATTGTGATTCTTCTACCAATAATATTTTGTGTTTAGCGATTCAACAAGATACTAAAATTGGTGCGCTGAAGTAACTAGTAAGAGTATTATAGTTGTAATGTCGTCTATTATAAGCGTGATGTTTAATATTATAAAAATAATCCATATTTAGTATTATCAATTTAAAAAAAAAAAATAGCATAGGACAATTTTATATTATGGTATTATAATTAGTGATTTCGTGAATGGATAAGGATTTATATATATAGGGATAGCATAAAAACTCAATAAGATTAGGTGTAAAAAAAATTGTTATTTGGGAAACAATAATGTTATGAACACCGAATTTTTGTATTGAAATTTTACACCAATATTTATGTACCAAATAACGTGGCATCTAGTCAGACGTGGTCACGTTGGAAACAAAATATATCTTTCATGAATGAACAAATGTCCAACAATTATGAACATCCGTCCATATTTTATGGACGAGCATTCACAAAAATATCAATGGACTCTCATTCATTTTACATGGACAGACGTCCACCTCATACGAACGCCCGTTTATAAAATTATAAAAATAAAATAATGGACGTCCGTCCATAAAATTATAAAAACAAAATAATGTTTTACCTTTGATTTCCTACTCACAATTTTTTCAATAAAAATATTTTGCACTTTAGTTAGACGAATTATTAATTGGTTCATCAAATAGTATGCTTTTGATGCATGATTTTTTTCATTTATTGTCCATTGATATGACAAATGCTGCATCTCAGAGATATAATCAAACACATAGAAGTATAACATTCATGCATGTCCAAGGATTTTGTTATTGTTCATATGTATACATTTCAACCATTTTTATAAGGCTATGCGTATGGATACCCGTCCATCTTATACGGACGGCCGTCCATTGTATATAGACAGACGACCATCCATATAAGATGGATGAGCATCAATTATTTTGTTTTTATAATTTTAGGGATCGGCATTCATATCAGGTAGGCGCCCGTCCATATAATATGGACGGGAGTCCATTGATATTTTTGTGGACGCTCGTTCATTCGTGATAAACGGTCATCCATAAAATATGGATGAGCGTTCATAACTGTTGGATGACCGTTCATTCATAGAAGACGTGTTTTGTCTTTAACGTGATCGTATCTGACTAGATGCCATGTCCTTCGGTACAAAAATTCGGTGTTCGTAACATTATTTTTGGGAAAAGAATCCCTTCTGAATTTTGGGTTGGCGGCAAAAAAAAAAATATATATATATGCATTGGAAATGAAGATGGGGTGGAGGGCGGCAAGTAAAGGTTAAAACCCACGAAAACCCCTCCCTCGTCTTAATAAAAATATATAATATATTAAATACATATGAGTAATTATAATTATTATTCTATTTAAGAAAAAAATTATGGGATTTTTGTGTAAGAGGTTGGGACGAGTATTGCATTTCACTCTTAAGGAAATCCTACCCTTGGCCTAATATGAAAAGTTGGGTTGAGGTAAAGGTTAGAAGGGACATTATATAAGGGTGTTCAAAACTAG